TCACACCAAACTTTTATTTTAATAGCACAACGCGTTTCAACCACAAAGTGGTCATCCTCAGGTGAGAATAAAAGTTTGGTGTGACAGGCTAATCGTGTTTTTGTTCATAAATATTTGAAGACACATCAAAAATAGAAATTGTTACTTGTGTGTAATTAATAGTTATTATTTTTTGTGCTTGAATTCAAGTCTTTTAATTATTATACGTGCCTAGTACTAACTCTGGTATGTTAAGATAAAGTCGTTATAACATTTAAAGAATCTTTTTATTCCACAGAAACACCTATTTTTCGTAAGAATATAAAAACTTTAATTTTTATTATAAAGTACGTATATTCTTTATACAACGATTTAATACAATGCAGTAATTAGTTTCTAATTGAAATTACGATATGTTCATTTAGGGAAAATATGTATATACATAATTACAAACACCTGACTATAAATTGTAATCGTATGAGTAATTTGATTTGTTTATAATATTTCGAAATATTAAATTGAGATTCATTTTAAACAACCCCGTTTGTAATCTTATTTATGTATTAATTTTTTGTATTTATCTTTAATATATTTAAAATTTCTTGTCAACCAAAGCTTCCTTGTTGTGTAATTCTATATTGTCAACACTATTTCGGTGAAATATTTCCATATTGCCAGTAGTGACTGATATATGACACATTTAACTTTTACTACTTATGTTTTTGTATCTTTTGTATATAATTAAAAATGTTTTAAGGCCATTAGTGTTATAAAATCAGATATTATAAAATTTATTGTGCAAAATAAAAGTTATAAAGGTTTTTCTTGTTACGTTCACTTTCATCCCATTCTTCATCACGATTGATATGTTTCCAATTAAACACAACTTTAATTTCTATATGCCTTTCTTTATAACCCAGATTGGTGACAGATTTAACAATTTAATAATCGAGCTGGAACCAAACAAATCGTTAAAATATCAAAAAACTTAATAATTAATATTTCCAAATCTGAATATTTAAAACTAAAAAACTAGTTTGGAATTCCAAATTAATCACTTAAAACAATTTCCATAATTATGCCGCTATTTGCATAGTTTATTGTTTCACTGGTTCCGAGCAGATTTCGCCTTTTTGGTTCGCTTACCTTGATTTCATTTGTTGTTCAGAAAAACACAAGTTTTGAAAATTGTCAACTCGTGACTGTGTGTAAATCCCACATATGATAATAATAAAATTCGAATCGGTACCAATCCGATTCTTACATAATATCCACTTTCCCTATAATCGCACAACAAGGCGAAATTCCTTGTAATGCAGAAGACAAAAATAAAAATCAGCAATTGGGTGTTTTGCTTCAATCCGGCTCCAGGTGTTGTTGCAAAACGGCGTTAGTCACCAAATCAAATTCCGGGATCCGGGTGTGTTACTAAAGCGGGGCAATTAATAGCAAGAATTCGGACTTTGCAGTGTTGAAATGTGCACTTCGGTCACGACAGTCTGGTCCTCTGGATTATGCAACAAGCTGGAAACTGGGCCAATTGCACTTTGTGGTCAAGAAAATCCCAGGCAGGAAACAGCTAAAAAATTGCTAGAAAATTAATCAGTTTTGGTAAAAATGTCAAGGTTGGGTGGTGTTTTTTGGACAATGCAACAGTGTGGGAAATTTTCTCAAGATGGACATGGGAGATTGCAAACCATCGTAGGTGTTAGAATTTTTAAAAAGTGAAACTGATCCACATGGTATATTTGATGGGTTACGAGTATAAGCATGGAGCAGGTGCATGGGTCCGAATATTGATGAACTGGTCGGAGAAGAGACAAGAAAGTGATTTCCTTTTGATAACCTTTATTTATGCAATGTTCTCACGGATGGCATAATACCATGATATTTTGATGACAGAAGGACTACATAATACGATTAAGAGGAAATTTGATACATTTTCTCTGACAAAAATTAGACGTAGCAATAATAATTTATTATAATTAACTTTGTTCAAATTTAATTAATATGCAAAGTAACTTGTAATTTTTTATGTAACCTAAAAATAAAATTAACATAACACATTTAGTGGTTTATGGACGGTAGTGCAGTAAAGTATGTTTAATAGCAATATCTGAGATCACTGTGGACGTGATTTCGAAACAGATTGATTTTGTCTAAGGATTTCCAAAACTGATCACTTTTAAATATGTAATATGTACTTACATACTGATAATTTTTACCATTATCCATAAAAAAAAATGATTCTATATCTGAAGACATGGTGACAACCAGGGCCGTAATGTTTGTTCCCAAGAAATTCAACTAATTTTAATACAGTGTGTCCCCGGATGGGTGAAACGGCTCGTGTAAAAAAATAAAAAATTAAATTAAATTAAAATAAATTTTCATTTTTTATAGTCCGGTCAAATTAGTCATAAAAATAGTGGTCGAATAACGAAAATTCCGACAGAGCTAAATTTTGGTGGAGACCTTGGGTAAACCATTAGAAATAAAGTGTCAAAAGTCCCCATCGATCCCATGTGTGCTAAAAAAGTTATTCGGGGTCAAAGGTCAATATTTGACGTTTTTTAGATTTTTTTCGAAAACGGCAAGTTTTATCAAAAAAGTAGCTCAGACGAAAATTATAGATCTTAAAATTATCTACAAAATGGTCTTTATACTTTTTTTCCAAGAATCACCATTCCTGAGATATCGCGATTTTGAAAGTTGAAGGAGTAACGTTCTACATCATATGCACATACAGAGTGCGCCAGAACTCGCGCCCCAAAGACAAATGCCATGTAGGGTAAGGTACCAGGAACATAAAAAAAAATTAAAAAAATTCTATCTATAAAAATTTCGAAGTTATGAGAGTTTAAATTTTGCACTTTGACTCTTATTTATTTCTGTAGGATAAATAATTTTCCACGTTTTTTTGCTACAGGTTATTAGAAAAGGAAACAAAGAAGCTGTATCCTAAGTTGTAACTCTGTTTAATATTATTTGTAGCTTTTATTGACAAAATTTTTGTACCTTTATCAAATAATTATAAAAAAACATATACAAGGTCATCAGTATTATTAAATAGACATAAAGAAATGACAAATGTCAAAAAATAAATGTCAAAATTTTTTGACAGATAGAATTTTTTAAACATTTTTTCAGTACTCTGGGGACTACCCAATTACTCCCTTTCAAGGAAATGCGCGATTATTTTAACAACCCGTATGAATTACAAATAAATTCTTTTTAATTCTAATGGAATCGAGATATTTATAAGTTTAATGAAGTAGAAGAAAAATTTCAAGTAAAATAAGATACCAGGAACATAAAAAAAATGTTTAAAAAATTTGACATTTGTTTTTTGACATTTGACTATTTTTTATGTCTATTTAATAATACTGATGATTTTGTATATGTTTTTTTACAATTATCTAGTAAAGGTACAAAAGTTTTGCCAATAAAAGCCACAAATAACATTGAACAGAGTTACAATTTAGGACACAGCTTTTTTGTTTCTTCTTCTAATGGCCTGTAGCAAAAAAACTTGGAAAATTATTTTCCCTACAGAAATAAATAGAGTCAAAGTGCAAAATTTAAACTCTCATAACTTTGAAACTTTTATAGATAGATTTTTTTTTTAATTTTTTCTATGTTTGTGGTACCTTACCCTACATGGCATTTGTCTTTGAAGCGGGAGTTCTGACGCACTCTGTATGTGCATACCATGTAGAACGTGACTCCTTCAACTTTTAGAATCGCGATATCTCAGGAATGGTGATTGTTAGAAAAAAAGTATAAGGACCATTTTGTAGATAATTTCAAGATCTATATTTTTTGTCTGGGCTACTTTTTTGATAAAACTTACCGTTTTCGAAAAAAACCTAAAAAACGTCAAATTTCGACCTTTGACCCCGAATAACTTTTTTAGCACACATGGGATCGATGGGGACTTTTGATACTTTATTCCTAATGGTGTACTCAATATCTCCACCAAAATTTAGCTCTGTCGGAATTTTAGTTATTTAAAATGTTTATTTTGACCGGACTATTAGGGTTTAGTCTGCTTGGTTAAAGACTACCTAATTTCTAACATAATTTTAGTTTTGAAAAATCATATTTGGCCCATGATTTTGAAATTTGATATAGGGGCTTAAATGTTGATTCTGAATAACTTTTCTTAATAATTTTTTGTTGTAGGTATTTGCCACATAAAAGGTACTTTATTGAAAAATAGGCATACCTACTTAATTTTTCAAAACTAAAATTATGTTAGTAATTAATGATTAATCTTTAACCAAGCAGAGCTGGACCCCAAAAAATTAAAATTTAAATCATTTTTTTTTATCTTTCACAAGAGTCGTTTCACTTATCCGAGGACACTCTTAATTAAGAAATTTTATCAAAAATGGTAAGAAACAGAAAGCTTATTCAGATTTAATTTTTTTGTTGATTTCTGAGATAAAGTAAACTAGAATTTTGTTTTTTTTTTATTTTTTGCTCTAATACATTCATAATTTAGAAAATATACTTTTTTTCTTATTTTTATTCACCTATATTTGTTTTACTTTATTTATTTTATATTACTTTTTGTTTAGTCTACTGTGAATAAAAAAAGTATAGTATATTTGTAAACAATCTCTTTTTACTCTCGCTTCTAAATTATTCATGAAATCTGAGTAAAAATAGGAAAGATCCGGCTTCAACTTCCACCCACAAAGTCATGCACGAATCGCTAATGAAGCCCGTAATTACTCACTTGTTAACCTTAATTAAATTGAAACATTATTATTCACCTAAAAACCATTTTTACACATTGATCCATATATTAGCATTCAAATTCAAGCCCCGTGCTTACATCAGTCGTTTTCCGATGAAATCATAAACACAAGACATTTAAAAGCACCGCTATGTCCTCCAACCGCCACCAACACCAAACTTCACATCTGAATCACTTTTCCCTCTTACCGATTCAGGGAGAACACCCTACTTTAGCACAAGTGACCGTCAAAGGATCAGTTAATCTTCGGCGATCGGCTTAATAAGATCGGCCGCCAAAAAAGAGCGAAATCACTTTCAGTTTCGCAGTGACTTCAACGGTAGATCAACACATGTGCGCGGGATGAGGAGACTTTGATCATTTTTGTTGTTTGAAACGTATCAAAGTTGACGAAATGAATTTTTTAAGTGCCATATTTTTTATTTTTGTCGCGGTCAGTGGGGCCACGGGGGAGTGTCCCACGAAAAAAACTCAATCGAAATTGATTTGTTATTATAGTAAATTGACACAAGCCGATTCGTGTAAATGTTCACATGTTATCTTGCCTGCGGATGCCGATATCAAATCCATCGATAGGTTCAGAGAGCACGCCAAAGGGGTCAAAATTTTGATCACCGTCAACGAATTCAATCAGGTAAATGACTAAAACATTAGTAGTAGGCGAAGGTTTGAAGCGAAGAATTAGAATTCATTCATTCATTATTCAAAAATTCTTCACTGAGGTCGTATCATAAATAATTTTTATGCTATTGTTGTACTACCTTTTGATGTCATCTATAAAAATTCAATTTTATTTCAAACACTCATTTTTAAGTTATGTACAAGTACCTATAATCCTATTTTTAAAATTATTTTATTGTTTCCAAAAAAAATACAAAAGTCAAAAAATATAGATGTTCTTTTCCTATCATATCTTTTATCTTAACTAAAATGATTAAACTTAAAAAAAAATGACTTCGAGATAATAATTTAAAGACAATAAAAATACATAAATCTACTTTTTGGAAAATCTAGATTTCATAATGTTTTCTTGAAATATTGAAGGTTTAATAATTCTTCTTGTCCATTTTTATCAAATATCTTGCATGTAGTCACACAAAAAAATAAAAATCCCATTTACACAAGTTAGAAATCAAAGTAATAATAATAAAATCTTATTACTTTAATTACCTTAATTTTAAGGAATTATCATATTTTTACGAATAAAATGTCGAACGATTTTGCACAAATGATGTAAATATGGAACACTTCTCTAACAGAAGCAAAAAATAAATAACAAAACCCTGCAGTCTAAATAAATTCCCTTGATTTTGCTGACATTTCACTCTTTAATTACAATTCGGTTGATTTTCTATATTTGGTTAAATTAGTCGTAAAACTGGTCACACTAAAGTTACGCTTGATTGAATGGTGTGCTAAATATTTGAATCATGTTTATCTTAACGATTTATGGGTGGTAATGAACTTAAATTTTTTATAATAAATCAAGTGATGGTCTTCAATTATCATTTTTAACATTTGGAAGAAAAAAATGTCAAAGAAAATTATGTAGCGATGAATCAAGGTTGATTTTGATGAAAGTTCAAACAATTTTGACATATAAGGTAAGGAAAGATGATAATGGAAAGGAGAGTGTCCCCTAGTTGTGATTAATATTGTATTAAAAGTAAGAGTAGATAAAGATTAGATAAAATGAAAGTGATAGTAATTATTTTAAATTGGTGCAGGTTAACATGACGTTAGTTTGACCCTTAAGGCAATCTCCATCGTTGAATTTTTTTTTATTCATTACTGAATTACCATTTTAAAAAAACGACAATAAAGCTCAATAAAAGTAAAACTTGCATTTTTAATGACACTTGTTTTAATTAAAAGCGTGGTGACCATCCTTATAAGTACACGCCCTAAAAAAATATAAATAAAATCACTTTTTATTAGAAAATAATTAATCTGTAGAAATCAGCGTTTCCATTTTTACTTCATTATTTTGCATTAATATCTTAACTGCTTCACCCACGGCAGATAATAAAATTGAATTATATCTTTAGACTTGAAATTGTTTACATCTATCTCTTCCTAATCTTTAATAATTTTTCCTATTTTATATGATTTTGTATTTTTTTTTATTCAGATGTAGGATTAATTAAATTTTTTCAAACCATCTAAAATTAATCAACAGAACGCTATTTAGTATAGGTATGGTATAAATTCTCTTTATTTTTAAAAAAATTTCAATTAATTCATTTACTTTGGCTATCTTTTAGAAACCTCATAATAGATTGTAATTAAATTTTTCATCGATAGCCGAAGTCTACGCAGTACAAAGCTTCAATTACTATCACAAAATCGAATCTGGCATGCCTTTCATTTAACTTTATTCTTCTTTTCCAGGGATTGGTCAACATACTGAAAAGCAGTAAAGTGGACGGTATTGAAATCAACCTAAAGAAACTCGACTCGAAAAACGACATCAGCGACTTCATCTCAACCGTCCGAAGCAAACTCGGAGCCAACTTATATATTGTCCTTTCTGTTCCTTCAAAAGCCGAGACCTTGGCGAAATACTTCGACTTTAAGGCTTTGAGCAAAAATGCGGATTTGTTCATCTTGCGAACCGCTTTTCTTGGAGCTTCCAAGAATGTTACTTTCCACCCTAGTCGACTTTCCGGACTTTGGGACATGCAAAATACTGTAAGTGTTATGAAAGAGAGAGAAAGTGAGTTAGAAAAATTTACAAATATATTTTTAAGTATGAGTAATACAGAGCGAAATTCTTCCGGCGAGATTAAAAATTTCGATTTTTCCGGTTTGTGATGATTTGTAACAATGCATCTGCAGGAACTGAAGCAGAACTGTTTTGTGCTTCTGCACTATCATGAAGTATCTGATTTGAATAATATTAATTGGAAATTCACCTTCACTCCCTATTGTTTAAAAAATGTGCATCTGGCTGAAGTTGTAGCAAAAATGCAGATGTAGGAAGTGAAGATAATTTCAGTGTTAAGTAATTCTAAAAATCAATGACAAAATACTATCGCTTTTCAAATCCTTGGGTCTCGTTACTAAAATTTGTAAATGACATATCCATTGTGATGGAATAATAAATCAGATTATGCAGACAAGGTGATGTGTGTACATATGTATACATAATGATTTATATTCAGTTACTCCTTCACGCCACCTTTGCAACTTATTGTTATTCATTTTAAATATATTTAGATAGCTTCTGTTTACTTATTTTCTTTAAATTTATTTCAAGTATTTAATTCTATAAATATAATTAATACAAATATACTGAGCGCGTTGATAATCAAGACTGCAATAGCTAAACGATCGATCGTTTCGAAGTCGAATTCAAAATTTGTTTTAAAGAAATTGAAACAATTGCAATTTAAACCCGTTGAAAGACGATTTGTTTCCCCTAAAAATCGAGTGGGAATAAGACCACAAATGTTTATAAGTCACGGCTACGCCTTTTTGAGCACTGTAATTAATTTCTTTGACGTTTCTATATTTCACATTACTGCTAATTTCTACGTCAAGGTCATTCTTTGCACACACCGTCACATAAATAAAATCAAAAACCAACAAAAGCCTACACTTTTTATCCTTTTATAAACTGAAACACCATCCAGACGACTACAGCTCATGCACTTACGTAATTGTCCATAAAAGGCTTCGAGTATAACAACCTCGCAAATTGTTACCATGTCACCATAAATATTCATAAAATAGATCCGGCATATCGCCATTATTACCTATTTGGGTGGGAAATATGACTATGGTTGGTTTTGCCTTCCAGGATTCCGTGGTGGATTTGGTGAGCGGTCTAGGGGCCCCCTTGTCCAAATTGGTGATTACAGCACCTGTTCAAGCTTTCAAGTTCAAACTCCAAGATGAAAAACATACAGCTCCGGGAAGTCCGGCTTTGGAAGTGCAGTCCATCACGAGAGATGAGCTTTGTAATGTTATGGGAAATGGGGGGAATTGGACGTTGGAGAGGGACCAGGACCAAACTGGGCCCTATATATTTAGGTAATAATGTTTTCGTGCATCAAACTTTTAAAAAACAGAATATTTTGTAAATAAAATATAAAGACAAAAAATAATAAAATGTATGGCTAGTAAAAAATCATTAACAAAAATTAAAATTACAATTAATAAATTAAAGACTATAAAATATTAAAGAATATTAGTTAATAGATTATAAAATATTAAAGATATTAAAAAAAAATGCTTTTTCAAGTAATTTTTTGAATTTCTTTGAATTATTGATAGCAATAATAAAAATTCATGTGTGTATCGAAAGTCGTTTATTAAAAAAAATAAAAAGAAATAAAAAAAAATAAATTTGGAAAATTGTTGTATAATGTATCTCCTGAAAAGTTCCCATTTCAATATTTTTGTTATTCTTTGTCCGATTTTGACGAATTTTTGTTCGGCTTAAAGAACAAACTTTGTAGAACATTAAAATTTAATTCAATAACATTTCTAGTTTTGTCTTGTAAATGTTATACCTAAAAGACGAGAGCACTGTTTTTTACTTTTTTATACTGAGCTGTAGTGTGCAACAGAGACAAAATTAAGTTTTTACTTATTTCAAATTATTACCCGTTCTTTTCTGAATAAGAACCAATATAAGAACCAATAAGAACCGATATATAGGCGGTTTGGTTAAATTTATACCTCTTACTTGTGTTTATTTTAATATTAGAAATTTATATTTGTGTGGTATCCCCTTTTTGAGAGGTTTTTATTCTGTATCAAAATTTTATCTTCTGGTACCCCAGTAATACAGAGCATTGAAAAAGACGTTGCTTTTCTAATGTTACTAATATTCCTTCAGAAAGTAGGCTACATAAAAAGGAAGTTAAACCGAAAATTATTGCTTATGAGCACAATTACGTTTTTGAGTACAAAAAATCTGAAAAACTCAAAAGGATAATAAGCAAAACGATTAATTATTGGAAGCTTCCATGCGCCTATTTCAACGTTTTGGCACATTCGGCCTACTTAATACGAACATTCATTGAAATCGGAAATGTAATGCTTTTTTTGAAGGTTTATATCTCTCAAGTCTCAAAAATTAAAATTATGGAAAATGTGGTACATAATTCAGAAAAGAATGGTCAATAATTTGAAATCAGTAAAAACTTAAGTTTGTCTCTGTCGCACCCCACAGCTCAGTATAAGTAAAAAAAAGAGTGCCTTCGTCTTTGGAGTATCACATTTAGAAGATTAAACTAGAAATGTTATTGAATTAAATTACAATGATCTACAAAGTTTTTTCTCTAAGCCAAACAGAAATCCGACAAAGAATAGGTAAGAAAAATAGTGCAATGTCAAAAATCGCAAAATTTTAGTTGTCCGGTTAATTTTGGCGGCCAGTGTATGTAAAATTGTAGCTAATAATAAATTGCATAATGTTGTTCATTTAATGATCGGTTGGTACATAAAATTTTTACATCAAAAGAAAAATCGTTGTTTTCTAAATACAGTTATGTTTAATTTGGGTTAATTACACTCACCTTAATTCAAGTAATTATATTATTATTTAAAATAAGTACCTACTCATATTTTAAGAATGTTTAGTAATACATAGATAATTTTAATGTTTCATATAAATGCATGTACAAAAGAATCTTTTCTTTTAATATCCACTCCAAAATGCTGTCGACACTCAAAGCTAAATGTGTAAAAACGCCTTAAGTTTCTGCGATTATTGGCAACGATTTGTAAGATATTAATCAAGCTGAAAATCCTTCTATTGCTTACGGCAGTATTTCGTCAAATTCGAATGATTTGACTATTGTTTATTGCCACTGCCATGGCCCGCGTACCGAATTCATGGTAGAACAATCACCAGGGGCAATGTCGTATTAGGTGTTTGCTTCTAAAGTCTCCGAAGTGGAGCAAATTGCGAAAGTCTATAATCTTATACAATAATAATTTACCATGACACACCTGCACACACTGACTATTCGGAGTCAAATAGGATCGGCTTTTGAAATAGTGCGTTGAATACCTTTCATCAGGATCAATTAAAAATATTCTTTCATAACTCGCTGCATGCGTTTAACTGTTTTTCGAAAAATCATTCATGGGCGAAATAAAAAAATTAAGGTTGATGTCCTTGCTTGGAGCTAAGAACTGTTAAAACTAAGTGCAGAAACATGACATCTCGAAATTTATTGCTGGAATTTTAGAGCGAAAGTGCATTTTTCCAATAAAAATCTTTAATTTTATTTTTTATTAATTTATTTATAGTAAAGACCAATGGATTGCTTTCGACGACTCTACGAGCATCGACATCAAAGCTAAATACGCAAGAGTTCGAGGATTGGCCGGAATGGCCCTTAAAGACCTTTCGCAAGACGGCGGTACTAAGTGCGAAAGCTCTATCCTTGATGCAGCTTTCACGGGTTTGTCTCGCCAAGCTCGTGCCCCACGTGGTGCCGTTTTGCATTCCTTGGAACGTGAAATTCTGGAAACATCAGCTCGACCCCTGGACAGCATCCAAGTGTCTCCTTACCGAATTTCCAGAGTAATAGATGTAGAGGGAAACGTGCACGTGATTAGAAAGGTACTCGTTCAAGTGCGATGGTGGTGTAATGGTCAGCATAGTTGCCTTCCAAGCAGTTGATCCGGGTTCGATTCCCGGCCATCGCAATGTTTTTTTTTTCATATAAATAAATATATTTATTTCGTTTTTTAAGGATACAAGGACCGAGTTTGAATGTTCGCGTCAAGGATATTTTGTCCATCCTCGGTCCTGTGGCCGGTTCTACCGTTGTGTCAAATTCGATCAACTTTCCGACGAATTTAGCGTTTTCGAATTCGATTGTCCTGCAGGATTGGCTTTTGACAGTCGAGTGGAGGTGTGTGTTTGGCCCGGAAGTTTGCCTCATGCTTCCGCTTGTGCAGGAAGTAGTGAAATTGCACCCGTGCCTCGGGAACGATTCGTTTGTCCCAATGAACCAGGTGAGAGGAGGATGTTAATCTAATCTGTTTTTTATTCCTATTGGGTTACTGCATTTGGAAATTCCTATTATGTAAATCGCTTTTGTAACACTTTTTGTCGTTGAGCTACTGATGCAGTTTTAGGTATTTTAATTAGTGTCAGTTTAGTCGTGCATAAGTGAGAGAATTATTTTTGGATTACGCACAGACTTGATATGTAATTGGACTTTTTGCATTACTCAATAGGTGAAATAAATTTAAGCTTCAACTGTACTTTTTATCGAAAATATTAGTTCTATTTTATTTTATAGTACAACTTCTAGTGTAAAATTATCACAAGTAAAATATATGATTGGTTATGAATGATTATTGCACAAAACCGAATAGATTTCAATTTCCATTGAACTCATAATTTTTTTATTTAAATGTGTAGAATTGTGAAATAACCAGAAACCATAGGCGATGGTGGTGTAATGGTTAGCATAGTTGCCTTCCAAGCAGTTGATCCGAGTTCGATTCTCGGCCATCGCACAAACTTATTTTTAATAAAAACTCTTACTCATAATTATTTACAATACAAATGTAAAATAACCAGAAACCATCGGCGATGGTGGTGTAATGGTTAGCATAGTTGCCTTCCAAGCAGTTGATCCGAGTCCGATTCTCGGCCATCGCACACTTATTTTTAATTAAAACCATTACTCATAATTATTTACAATAGAAATGTGAAATAACCAGACACCATAGGCGATGGTGGTGTAATGGTTAGCATAGTTGCCTTCCAAGCAGTTGATCCGAGTTCGATTCTCGGCCATCGCAAACTTATTTTTAATTAAAACTATTACTCATAATTATTTACAATAGAGACGTGAAATAACCAGAAACCATCGGCGATGGTGGTGTAATGGTTAGCATAATTGCCTTCCAAGCAGTTGATCCGAGTTCGATTCTCGGCCATCGCACAAACTTATTTTTAATTAAAACTTTTACTCATAATTATTTACAATAGAAATGTGAAATAACCAGGAACCATCGGCGATGGTGGTGTAATGGTTAGCATGGTTGCCTTCCAAGCAGTTGATCCGCGTTCGATTCTCGGCCATCGCACAAACTTATTTTTAATTAAAACTTTTACTCATAATTATTTACAATAGAAATGTGAAATAACCAGAAACCATAGGCGATGGTGGTGTAATGGTTAGCATAGTTGATTTCTCGGCCATCGCATAACTTTATTTTATATTTAAAACGTTACACAAAATTAATACAACAAGATTCTAAAATAATCAGAAAAGTAGGTAGTTTTTATAGTAAAATCATAATAAACTGGTTAGTCCGGTCAAAATAAACATTTGAAATAACTAAAATTCCGACAGAGCTAAATTTTGGTGGAGATATTGAGTACACCATTAGGAATAAAGTGTCAAAAGTCCCCATCGATCCCATGTGTGCTAAAAAAGTTATTCGGGGTCAAAGGTCGAAATTTGACGTTTTTTAAATTTTTTTCGAAAACGATAAGTTTTATCAAAAAAGTAGCCCAGTCAAAAAATATAGATCTTGAAATTATCTACAAAATGGTCCTTATACTTTTTTTCTAACAATCACCATTCCTGAGATATCGCGATTCTAAAAGTTGAAGGAGTCACGTTCTACATGGTATGCACATACAGAGTGCGTCAGAACTCCCGCTTCAAAGACAAATGCCATGTAGGGTAAGGTACCACAAACATAGAAAAAATTTAAAAAAAAAATCTATCTATAAAAGT